CTCACCTCTCACCAAGATGCACACAGGGCCTATTAGGTGAGTCTCTTTTCACCAAAGCACTGTGCACCTTTCTTTCTGGTGATTTTAGGTTGCTTTCTGCAGGGTGAGTTTGCGCGTGGGCCCTTTAAGAGCCGGTTTTAATGTCTTTGTGAACCAGCTTTTCTGGGGGTGCTCCCCAATGCTTTAGTAGCAGGCAAAGTCAGATATTCTGCCACTCGTCTCGACTGTACTGGGTCCACACAATGCCCACAGCGGGGGCGCTCCCCAGCTCCGGGCCCCGCTCCTCCAGGGAGGCTGCGGACCTGTGGGCTGCTCCTGGGCAGCCGTGCAGCTGGTGGCTCGTGAAGGCGGCGTTTTTCCTCTCCAGAAGGGAGTCTCTGCCTCTTCCACCTCAGTTAGGATTGTCCGTTGTTGCAGGAGTTCCTCTTATCCAGTTTTCAGTTCTGTCTCAGGGGTAATTTTTCCACCAGTAGTTGTAAATTGGCTGTGTCCGCAGGAGGAGGTGAGTTCAGAGTCTGCCTACGCCGCCATCATGACTTCCTCCCTTGCAGTGTACACTTTAAAAGGGTGAATTTCATGGTATGAGAAATTTTATCTGTGAATTATCTCAATTTTTAAAAAATTAAGAAGAAGAAAGGAAATAATAAAGAGCAGACACCAAGGATATATGAAATGGAAGAAAAATTGGTAATAAAAATCAATGAAACCAAAAGCTGAGTTTTTTAAGAGATCAATAAAACTGATATAACTCTAGCTAGTTTGAGCAAAAGGAAAGATAGAAGACACAAAATACCAATATCAGGAATCAAAGACAGGACCTCACTAGAGATGCCACAGGCATTAAAAGAATAAGGGCATATTATAAACAACTTTATACCAAGATACTTGACTGCCTACATGAAATGAATGATTTTCTAGAAATATAAATATTTTCTAATTTGATGTGAAAAGAAATAGAAAATCTGAAAAGCCCCATATCCATTTAAGAAGTAAAATTAATAATTAAAAACTCCAGGCCCAAATTACTTCTCTTGTGAATTCTCTCAAACATTTAAAGAACAAATACCAATTGTATAAACTCTTTCAGAAAATGGAGGAAGAGGGAATCCTTTTCCTCTCATTTTACAAAGCCAGCAAAACTCTTACCAAAACCTATTACAGATATAATAGGAAAATTATACCTCTTAGGAACACAGGTATAAAAATCTTTAAGAAAATAATAGCAAATCAAACCTATCAATATATAGACAGAATAATACACCACGACCAACTGAAATTTATTCTAGGAATGCAAAGTTGGTTTAACATTAGAAAATCAATTGAAGTCATCATATTAATAGAACAAAGGAGAAAAGTCATGATCCTCTCTACAGATACAGAAAAGACATTTGACAAAATTCATACAAAAACCAGAGTAAAAAGGAACTTCTTAAACTTGCAAAAACAGGCTAACTTTTCAACAGAAAAGATAGAAGCTAGAAGACAATGAAACGACACTTTTAAATTACTGAAAGAAAATTCCCAACCCCCAATTTTAAAATTGTAAACATACTCTTCAAAAATGAAGGTGAAATAAGTATGTTTCCTGAAAAACAAAAACTGAGTGAATGCATTGCCAGTACTTGCACTGAAAGAAATAATAAAGAATTTCTTCAAGCAGAAGGGAAATTATCTCAGAAGGAAATATCGAAATGCA